GTATTGAGTAGTATGAGTTCTTTATAAATTTTGGATATTAACCCCTTATCAGATGTATCATTGGTGAATATCTTCTTCCTTTCAATAAGTTGTCTTTTCATTTTGTTGATGGTTGCCTTTGCTGCACAAAATCTTTTTTTAAATCTTCACCTGAGGGTATTTTTTTTTACTGATTCTAGAGAGAGAGAAAAGGAGAGGGAGAGAGAAATAGCATCGATGTGAGAGAAAAATATCAATCAGTTGTCTTCCATACCCGCCCTGATGGGAGATTGAACCAGTGACCCATCGGTGCTCAGGAAAACACTCTAACCAACAGCTACACCAGCCAGGACTGTGCAAAAACTTTTTAGTTTGATGTAGTCCCATTTGTTTATTTTTTCTTTTATTTCCCTTACCCAAGGAGTTATAGCAGAAATATATTGCTAAAAATAATGTTAGATATTTTACTGCCTATGTTTTCTTCTAGGAGTTTTATGGTTTTGAGTATTACATTTAAGTCTTTAACCCATTTTGAAGTTTATTTTTGCATATGGTGTAAGAAGGTGATCTAGATTCGTTTTCTTGCATGTATCTGTCCAATTTTCTGAGCACCAATTATTGAATAGAGTGTCTTTACTCTAGTCTTCCTTTATACTTACTTTTTAAAAAAAATGTTTTTATTGATTTTTAGAGAGAGAGGAAGGGAGAGGGAGAGAGAGAGAGAGAGAGAGAGAGAGAGAGAGAAACATCGATTGGCTGCCTCCTGCACACACCCTACTGGGAATCAAGCCTGCAACTGGGGAATGTGCCCTGATGGGGAATCAAACCGGAGACCTCTTGGTTCATGGGTCGATGCTCAACCACTGAGCCACACTAGCCAGGCTCCTCCTGTATACTTTAAATCATCTCTAAATTATAGACAGACCTCAAAGATACTATGGGTTTGGTTCCAGACCACCGCAATAAAGCAAGTATTATAAAAAAAGAAAGTCACATGAATTTGTTGGTTTCTCAGTGCGTTATATAAAAGTTATGTTTATACTGCACTGTATGTATTAAGTGTGCAATAGCATTATGTCTAAGGAAAAACAATGTACATTAATTTAAAAATACTTCATTGCTAAAATAAATGCTAACCATCATCTGAACCTTCAGTGAGTTGTAATCTTTGCTGGTAGAGGGTGTTAACCTTCAATTTGTAAAAAGAAAAAGCAGTGTCTGTGGAGGGCAATAAAGTGAAATACAAGAAAGCGAGGTCTGTCTGTACATGAATATTCACAACAGCATTATTCATAATAGCCAAAATGTGGAAAAGTCCTAAATGTCTGTCTTAAGCCGCTCAGGCTATCATAACAAAATACCATAGACTAGGTGGCTTGAATAACAGACATTTATTTCTCACAGTTCTGGAGGCTGGAAATTCCAAGATTAAGGTGCTGGTCTGTTCAGTTCCTATTGAGAGCCCTCTTCTTAGCTTGCAGATGAATACCTTCTCCCTGTATCTCCACATAGCCTATATATTTTTTTAACATGGCCTATTTTTGTTGCATCCAGGTGGAGAGAGAGCAAGGTCCTGTCTCTTCCTCTTCTTATAAGGATATTAATTCTATCATGGGGACCCACCCTCATGACCTCATCTAAACCTACTTACCTCCCAAAGGATTCAGCCCCAAACACTATCATGTTGGGGGTTAGGGCTTCAACAAATGAATTTGGGGGGATACAGGCATGCAATTTATAACAATGTCAATAAACTGACAAATGGATAAATACAATGTAGTATGTCTATACAATGGACTACTATCTATATATATATATGAAAGCCTAAGTGACCGAATGACCAAACCACCAGCTGACTGGTCACTATGACACGCACTGACCACCAGGGGGCAGACGCTCAATGAAGGAGCTGCCCCTGGTGGTCAGTGCGCTCCCACAGCGGGAGCACCGCTCAGCTGATCAACAGGCGCCAGATGCAGGGCTCACGGCTTATGAGCACCGCTATGGCGGCGCAAGCCTCTCCCAATTGGGACTGACTGGGTGCGAGCCCGTGGCAGGCGTAGCAGGGTGGGATGAGCAGGAGAGGCAGGCGGCATTGGACTGCCGGCGTCCACCTGATCCCCGCAGGCCATGCTGAGGGACCCCACTGGTGCACGAATCCGTGCACTGGGCCTCTAGTTCACTCATAAAAGGAATGAGTTAATGATACATGCTATAACATGAGTGAACCTTGGAAATATGCTAATTGAAAGAAAGCAAACAGAAAAGACTATAAATTATGTGATTCCTTCCATTTATATAAAAAGTACAGAACAGGCAAATCTGTAGAGAGAGAAAATAAATTAATGGTTGTCTGGGGCTTAAGGAGTTGGAAGATTTCAGGAGAAATAAATAGTGGCTACTAATAGATATTAGGTTTCTGTTTGGGGTGATGAAAATATTCTAAAATTAGGTAATGACCGTGGTTGCACAACTATATAAACATATTAATAACAATATAACTGTGCACTTTAAATAAATTAATTTTGTAGTGTGTGAATTATATCTCTGTCAAGCTGATAAACAAATATTGTTGGTTTGCATTGCCCTGGTTGGATAGTTCAGTTGGTTAGAGCATCATCCCCATATGCCAAGGTTGTGGGTTTGCTCCCCAGTCGGCACATACAAGAATCAACCAATGAATGCATAAGTAAATGGAACAACAAATTCATGATTTTTTTCTCTCTCTCTAAAAATCCATTTTAAAAAAAGATGTGACAGCTGCTTTGCTTTAAAGTGGCAAAATATAAAATACTAAAGGCCCAGTGCATGAAATTCGTGCATGGGTAGGGTCCCTAGGCCTGGTGGGCGATCAGGGCCAATCAGGGTCTTCCGGCTGTGGGCTGGGGCCTCCCTTCCCCAGCTGTTGGCTGCTGGCCGGAACCTTCCTTCGTTCCGTGCCACCCCCTGGTGGTCAGTGCACGTCATAGTGAGGGATCAAACTCCTAGTAGAACTCTCAAGGGGACAATTTGCATATTAGGCTTTTATGTATATAGATTGTGTGGAGGCAGGGCTGCTGTTCTATTACATTTCTTTGCATTCTACATAGGTTGTTGAAAAGATAAATCATAAAGGGATCTTTACAAATCAGATTTTTAGTGTTCTATGTATAAACAGTACCAAGAGAACATTTGAAAGGGTTTGGATATAAATGTTCCTTGAGTGAAGCATGATTAAGTGGCCAGTCTCCCTTTTAGGATGAATGGTCATCCCACTTCATTTTTATTTTTTTACTTCATGAGTATATTGTGTGACTTTAAATAACACACAGAGTTTATTTTTCCCACTTATATTAACTTATCTATCTTTGCATCTTCTAATTTCTCCTTTTGAAAAGACACCAACCTTCCTACTTCCTCATTTCTTTAGTAAAACAAGTGCAATAACTTTTTTACTTTTCTCATCTCATTTTAAGCAGTAAAAAATAATGTAATCATGTATATAGTGTGTTGTTGTTTTTAAAAAGCAAGAGTAACAAAAAGTTTGAAATTTTTCTCAAGTGGCTTTGTGCAAATTATATGGTGACACCCCCATTTACCATGTCTGTTGGGCTAACTCCTATACATCCTTAAGGCGAACTCCTCTGGCATCATTCTTGCATTCTCTGACTTCCTTCATAAGTGCCCCTCTTCTGTGTTCCCATGGTACTCTATGCTATCTCCTTATCATAGCTCCGTGTACTGGCACCTTCTGTTTATCAGCTTGTGCCCTCTATTAGACTATATGCCTTATTAAGGCCAAGGTCTGGATTTTATCATTCTACCTCAACATCTGTAACTGACTTTTGGCAAATAGGAAGTGCTCAGTAAATGCTTGTTGAACTGAATGTAATGAATCACACTAAAGCCCAATTATCAGATGTGATAGGAGCTGATATTTGTTTGGTTGATTTTTAAAAAGTCAAATAAAAAAAAAAAGTCAAATCATATAATTACTTAAAAAGTATATATATATATATATATATCTCCTAAAATGTTTATTTTAATTAAAGCATAGTTGCATAATCTTTGACAATTATTTTATATAGGGTATCACCTTTGAATATGGGATTCTAATTATAGTTCTACTTAGCCTTTCTTGGATTAAAAACAACAAATTTTAAAACTCTAAAATGAAAGCAGTTTATTTAAAATAGAGGCACTTGGAAAGAACTTTGAGAAATGAATACAGAATCTTTAGATTTTTATTATTTTTCCTAATGTGTAACAGATACCTTACCCACACCTAATTCAACAGCAATTTTTATTAGCAACTCAATTTTATTTTAAGCATTTAAAATAGTTTTTGTAGAAACAGCAGCTCTTTTTTGGCAGTCATAGTTTTGATAACTAAATACAGTGGCATTAACAAGTTTGGGAATAAACATAACTGACTGGCTCTTAGTAAGCATACATTTCAGCTATTTGGATCAGATGTGCAAGGAAGTACTAAAGTAACTAAACAGCTATGCCATTAAAGCTTACCCTGAGCATCAGGTAATATATTTTACAGGTAGAACAGAGAATGTTGATTATATTTGTAAATCGTGTACTGGAGGGAATTTACTGTATTTTTTTCTATACCAAAATTTTATTAATTATAGAGCTTATGCAGAGTCTGCTATGTCCTGTCACAAGATTTCATAAACTTTGCTCTTCTTAAAACTCAGTGCCTTGAGCCCAGTTAGTGTGGCTAAGTGGTTGAGCATTGACCTATGAACCAGGAGGTCACGATTCCATTCTGATTCCTGGTCAGGGCCATGCCTAGGTTGTGGCCTTGATCCCCAGTAGCGGGTGTGCGGGAGGCAGTTGATCAATGATTCTCTCTCATCATTGACGTTTCTATCTCTCTCTCCCTCTCCCTTCCTCTCTGAAATCAATAAAAATATATTTGTTAAAACATACACTCAGTGCTTTGAAATGTCTTATTGCCTTCTTAAGTCACTCTGGCCACTTCCAAAGAATGTAATGCTAATGGCTTTGTTTGTTTGTTTTAATTTCAGTGGTAGGAATGGGATCCTGGTGCTTCCACATGACTCTGAAATATGAAATGCAGGTCAGTAATGACAAAATTGACTAAATGCTTGTTTCTTCTAATCCAGAAACACTTCAAATTTGAGGAAAGAGCATGTTACTAGAAGATAGTTGAAACAAGAGACTTGGGAAGGGGTGGGAGTTGAGATTAGTAATCTCTGGAGTTTTTACTTAAGGCCAAAGTATCCAGATGCACTAAGTGAAGTAAAGAGGCAAGCGAACAAGTTGTCCATGACAAGTGAGGATTATAACTGTTTAACCACCTCTGTGTAGGTGGGTACAATTTTAGAGCAGAGTCCCAGGGAGACATCTAAAAAAGACATCATCAGTTCTTAGATGCCTGCATTCCCTTCTGTCTCTCTCTTACAGAGTTCATTTGAATGATCTGGTTCCTCTCACTAGCAAGGTTTTAGAGCTATGCAAGGATTTTTATTTACTGCCTTTGCTCTAAGGAGGCCATATATCTAGTCCTCAATCTTTTGACCTCTTTTTTCTCCATCACTAACCCAGATAGTCTAGAACAGCACTGTCCAGTAGAAATATAATGTGAGCTACATATGTAATTTAAAATTTTTGAGGGGGCACATTAATAAAAACCACATTTAAAAATAAGTGAAATTAGCCCTAACTGGTTTGGCTCAGTGGATAGAGTGTCGGCCTGCGGACTGGAGGGTCCCAGGTTCGATTCCGGTCAGGGGCATGTGCCTTGGTTGCGGGCGCATCCCCATTGGGGGCTGTGCAGGAGGCGGCTGATTGGTGTTTCTCTCTCATCGATGTTTCTGGCTCTCTATCCCTCTCCCTTCCTCTCTGTAAAAAATCAATAAAATATATTTAAAAAAATAAAAATAAGTGAAATTAGTTTTAATATATTTTATTTTACCCAATATCTCCAAAGTATTACTTCAACCTGTAATTAATATTAAAATGCTTCACATCTTGAAATCAGATATATATTTCATGCTTGCAGTTAGATTAGGTTTCTTTTAAGTGCTCAGTAGCCACATAAAATAAAGCTAGTGGCTACTGTATTGGAGAGTGTTAATTCTAGAAGATCTGTATATGCAACAGTCTATAAATTATAACTGCATTAAATGTATAACACATATTTATAAGAAAGTGTTATGTGTGCTATATATGCCATGCTTGAGTTGGAGAATATACAGATTATGAGACACTGGTCTGACCTAATCAAGCATAGAAAACATTTCTTAACACTTTCTAGCTCAGAAAACATGATATAATATTAAAACTATTTTTAATAAAGTATAAATTATTTATGGTAAGATGATATAGCTTGAAAAGGATCTATAAAAATTAAAGACATTCAAACTATCTAATTTGAGGACATTTTCATCACCCCAAAGAGAAACCCATTAGCAGTCACTCTATACTACTCCCGCCACCTAGCCCCTGACAACCATGGATTTGCCTATTATGAATATTTCATTGCAATGAATTATATAATAGGTAACCTTTTGTGTCTGTCTTCTTTTAGATAGGCCAAATAATATTCCATTGTCTGGATATACCACATTTTGCTTATCTATTTATCAATTAATGGGTATTTGTGTTATTTCCATTTTTGGGCTTTCATGCATAATGTTGCTATGAACATTCATGTACAGGTTTTTGTGGATATATGTTTTTAATTCTCCTGCGTATATACTTAGCAGTAGAATTGCTGGGTCACTGGTAACCCTATGCTTAACCTTTTGAGGAGCTGCCAGGTTGTTTTTCAAAGTGGCCGTACCATTTTACATACCCACCAGCCATTCCTTCAGATCCTTGCTATTGCTCGTCCTTTTGATTATATCCATTCATGGGTGTGAAGTGGTATCTCACTGTGGTTTTGGTTTGCATTTCCCTAATGACTAATGATGTTGAGCATCTTTTCATGTGCTTATTGATTATCCATATATCTTCTTAAGAGAAATATCTATTCAGATCCTTTACTCATTTCTAAATAGGGTTATTTGCTTATTTTCATTGAATTGTAAGAGTTCTTTATCTGTTCTGGATACTAGACCCTTATCAAATATATGGTTTGCAAACATTTTCTTCCATTCTGTTGGGTGTTTTTTCATTTTCTTAAGAGCACTCTTTGAAGCAAAAAGGTTTTCAGTTTTGCTGAAGCCCATTTTACCTATTTATTTATTGTATATGTATGTATATGTATATGTATATGTATATGTATATGTATATGTATATATATGGAGAAACAACTAGATGAATGTGCTGAGATAAAATGTCAGGCAAGACAAAGCATCTGAGTGAGGGGAAGGATAGGCTCCCCTACTATGTGTTGATCATATTGTGACAAGAATATTGCATTCAATTCTGAGGACTAACCTAGCATCTGTTCAAATGAAAGGCACCAGAATGGTGAAAGAACTAAAAACCTGAGGGGAAGGAACTGGGAATACAATCATGTGCTGATTAACATAGGAATATGGTCAGAAATGTGTCATTAAACAATTTCATTGGAGTGCAAGCATCATAGAGTGCACTTACTAGTATACAAACCTAGATGGTATTGTCTACTACTGAAATTGTATGTGCTATACTTTTATACATCTGGCAGTGCAGTAGGTTTGTTTACATCAACATCATCACAAACGTGAGTAATGTATGCACTAAGACATTACTTTGGCTACAATATCACTAGATCTCAAGCCTGTTCACTTACATCTATTCCCAATTCTGCTACCTTAATTCAAGTAGCAATTTTCCTTAGCCTGGACCGCTGTAACCTCTTGGCTAGACCTCCCATGTCTACGCTTTCTTTCTTCAGAACATTCTCCATACAGAATTGGTTTTAGGACAGGTTTAAGTATTAGCAATAACCTAACACTCAGCTTAGTGTCTCACTTGTAATATAATACATAATAGCTATAATCATCATTATTATTATTATTGCTAATAACATTATCTTTCAGAGGCATAGGTTACTTAGATTAACTAAATGACTTTCCCGACCATTAATACCTCTTCTTATGTATATTAGTGGACATTTTATCCATCTTAGGTGATATAGAAAAGGGCAGAAATGCAAAAGAATACTGATAGGACCCATAGACCTCTAGATGGTGAGCATCATACTTTCTTGGAAATGTGATACTATAGTTTGTTATTGCCAAATGATCTGAGCTGCCCAGTGCATCCTGCATTCTACTTAGCTATGTACATTAGGACAGATAGGTGAATGGATACGCTTGATTATTCAAAAACAATAAAATAAACACACTCAGGATAGATTAGATAATGATAAATATATAAAAGAATTAATAAAAGATATTAGATAATGAGGTGACCATTTTAATCATGAAATTTTACTTTATTTGCATAATAATTGCAACTCTACAGTATTGACATCCTGTTATCTGTCTTTGTTTCTTATAGCTATTGGATGAACTCCCAATGATTTACAGCAGTTGTATATTTGTGTACTGCATGTAAGTATTTAAGTTTAAAATTTAGTTATTTGATATATTTTAAAATTTTCATTGGCCTTATAGTGAATTGAGTTATACAACTAACTCAGTTAATATTACTGAGAGGTTATAATAGTGTAAAAGATTATAATATTTGTGATCTTGATGTAGAGTATAATCTCTGGGAAGTTAAAATAATGTTGTTTATTAATTTTTGTGATATCAATACCCTATAGCCAATTTAGGTAGACTATTACTTAAATTTGACATAACTTACATAATTTGCCTTTCCTTGAGTTATAAATGTATACATGTTTAGGTAAAGATTTTATATATTGTGCCATAAAAATAATTTTTATCTATTTTGTATTTGTAATTGTTCTAGAGATACCAGATCATCAGTCATCTCTAATTATCACAGTTGTGCAAGATAAATGCGTATTGTCCCTATGTTTGTCCAAGTCTGTAGAAAGTTTTTATAAGAGTTTGAGCCAAAACTGAGGACAGTTGCTGGGAAGCAAGATCTCAAATGCTATAGAGAATGATAGTTTTGCAGTTTCTTTTATGCATTTGGAATTAAGGAGGGAACTAAAGAAGATTACAGGAAAGTGGGAGAAAGCAAGGCAGGAATTGGATAGTTAAGATGATGTGCTTTCTTAAAAGTGGTTAGGCTTATTTCAAAGGTGTGTTAACCTAGATGCACAGAAACAATGGACAGGGCTTAAGGCAAAGAAAAAACCTTTACTAAAAAGTTATATGCCTGGGGCGTTACTATCCACCATGACCTGACCACTTAGGAGTTTATGATCAAATCATCTGGGAAGGTACTTTCCATAGAGCCCCCTGTTAGTCCACAGATAGAAAGCAGAATTTATGCTTAGGTGACTTACCTAAGGTCATGTAGTTAGTAAGTGTCAGAGTTAGAAATTGAACTACAAGTTTAGTAACCTTGTTACTGGAAAGGGGACCTGTCCCTGAGCAGGTCTGCCTAGGGCTCACCAGTAGTGTGTGGGTTCTTGACTTCGTGCAGGAAAAATTTCACAACACGAGTCCAGGTGAATTTTAGAGGACATTTACTAAAACGGGACAGTGAGACAAGAAAGGGCTGGTGAAATGAGCCAAGGCTGGTCTGCTTTGGCTCACTAAGAAGTCAGAAAAAGGGGGCCTGGGTGTCGTGTTCAAGGGATTTGCCCAGGATGAACTGCCACTGCCCAGTGTTGCCCTGGTTGCAAGCCTTGTGGGTTCCCTTACAACTTAGGAGATGCATGCTTGTGGGGAAAGAAGGGATGGGGGAGGCATGGGCATGTTCCTGGGAGGAAGAGCATGTGCTGGGACCTTGGTTTTGAGGGATTTTAAAGGCTGGGTGAATGGGGGGATCTCAGTAGGATAGTCATCAGCTTTATGCTGATGTACCAAAATGAGATTTATTTTCTTAATTTCATCTGTCCTTGGGTGTGGTTAGCAAATGGCACTAATTGGAATTCTGCTGTCTCCCTGAGTAGGGTGATTTAAGCCAGCGGTCGCCAACCACTGGTGGTCCGTGAGGTCCGAAAGGTTGGCAACTGCTGATTTAAGCTATTTACTCTCTGGTTGGGAAGGAGAAGTTCAAACCATTTGCTTTTAAATGTCCTTGATTTAGGGAATATGGGATTTACTAGGTGGCTACAAACTGCTTGGCATGTAGATTTTCTAAATGGCTGCAAACTGCTGTTTAACTATCTCAGTTTCCTATTCCACTCATCCTGGCTTTATAGCCTGTTTCAACCTTACCTTCTAAATATATGTTCTGTTCCCCAGCACTAATACTTAACATGTCTCTGAGCCCCTGAGCCCTTTATGTGATGGTTGGCTGATTCTTCTCAATATGGTCATCATTGCTAGCTTAAGAATATCTTCTAAAGGTATGCAAAATTCAGAACAATTTAAAAACATATTATTTTAAAAGTTCTGAAATTTTTTTCTGTAAAGGGCTAGACAGTAACTATTTTTGGCTTTGTGTGCCTGTAGTCTGTTGCACCCCTTCAACTTTGCTGTTGCAGCATGGAAGATATGTAAACAAATGGATGTGATTATGTTCCAGTAAAATTTTATTTACAAAAAACAACAACAAAAAAAAACAAACAGGCTTAGGCTGAGAAATTGCCCTGATCTAGAAAAATACTTTCAGATGAGCTCTTTTTACTAAGTCATCAAGTTCCAGAATTTAAAGACAAAAGAGATCTTATAAGTCATCTGGGCCACCACCTTTCTTTGCAGAGAAGGAAATAGGAGTTGAGTCCAATTCCCACAGCCAATTGATTAGTGAACTGAGAGAAGTCTCCTGCTGTTTGTATTAAAACATGGGTTCAAAGGTTGGATACTTAACTGATGGCCGTATATTTGTTTATATTTCCTTACTTACTGAATATTTCCTCTGTCAGATACTATCCTAGTGACTAGATATATGGAAAAAAGGTTTTATCCCAGCACTCAAGGAATTCACAGTCTGGTTGGGAGACAGATAAGTAAAAAGATGATTATAATATAGTGATATTTTCTATAATACTATGTTGTTCCTGGATCATTAGTTGAAAGATATACTCAAGCTAGTTTGAGTTAAGAGGGATTTATTTATTGTAAGGACATGAGGAAATTATGTGGGACCCAACATCAGGAGGTAGAGCCTCATTAAACTGGAAGGACAGCTTCTCTCTCTCCCTCCCTCTTTTCTCCATTCCTTCCTCTCCACATGGCTTCAAGTCTTTATGTCTGCTTTATTTCCCCCTCCCTGCAGACCACTTCTCTGCTCATCGTCTGCTTGTTCATTCAGTTTGGCTGCCCTGTTGTCTACATCAGACTTGGAATCCCTATGGCTTTATACTTTGACTCTCCACACTTGACTGATTCGGTCTCCAGCTTCTAAACACCAAATTTTCAGGGGTGAGCCTCTCATTGGTCCAGTTTAAATAAGGTGCCTACTCCTGTTCCCCCAACCTCTTGGAGGCTGTAGACAGTCCAAGTTCTCTGAGATGAGAGTATGGATGGGAAGAAATGATGGGCATCACTAGACCCAGAGATTGTGTGTAAGTGGTCCAACAGCATTCTATTTCTTTTTCTAGTTATATACTCTAAAGCAATTTTCTTTTTCTCTCTGTTTTTAAGGTTTGAATGTTTCAAGACCAAGAACTCAGTAAACTACCATCTGCTTTTTATCTTAGTTCTATTCAGTTTAATAGTAACCACCGTAAGTCATATTTTGTTTCTAACAGATTAAGCATGTGAACTAACCTTTTATGGAGTTTGGCACATTTTGCTTCCAGTGTTTGGTTCATGCTGTTCAAATTGAAATGTTTCTAGAGAAAACTCACAGTTACTGCTTCTTTGTTTCCCATTTAGGTGTTATTTCTCAACAAAAAGTTGAAACAACTTTTTAAAACTCTGGTTTTAAAAAATGGGGAAAAATCAAAAGGTTAATATTTAGTAGAAATGGGGGAAGCGAACTTCTTTTTATGGATGGATATATTGTCTCCTTTTTGTTAAAAAAAAGAGAGAGAGAGATTTGCTCTGCTCTGTTGAGTCTAATATGACTATTTTTAAACCTTTTCCTAATAAGTTGAGATAGCTGGTCACTTCTGAGCCTACCTAAGTGTCTTTTTTCCTCAAGTGAATTGAATTTAGATACTAATTTCAACAAACTTTTATTGCAAACCTATCATATCAGGCAGTAGAAAATATAAAGATGACTGCGAGCAGTTGCTTTGCTTGAGGAGTACATTCTAATACAGAAGTCAAACGTGTAAATGAAGAATTGCTTCAAAAGATAATAATTGCAATAACAGAGGTAAAAACTAGTCATATAAGGATGAGATGAAGGAGTATCAATGAAGATGAAGATTTCTAGAGTGGGTCAAGGAAAGCGCCATAGAAAAGGCATTTAGGCTGAGTTTTAACTGATGAGTAGGAGTTCACCAGGCTTTTGGGCAAGAGTGTGGTGAAGCATTTCTAATAGACTATTACACTGTCCATAGGCATAGAACCATGTGTACATGGACTGTGAGGGTACAGAGGAAGGTGAGTGGTTGCTGAACAGAGAAAGGATCAGAAAAGGCTTCAAGAAAGAGGTATAGTTTGAACTGATGAGTGTTTGCCAGCAGGGGAGGATTTCTGAACAAAGTGAAGAGCAGCCATGTTTAAAGATACAGAAGCAAGAAACCAGCATATTTGGGGAAACACTGTACTTTCTGGAGCCTAGAATAAAAAAGAGACAAGAGGAAAGCACTGAAGCCAATCAGAAAGTCAGGGGTGAGATCATGGAAGGCTTTGAATATAATACAGCAAGTGCAAGCTAAATCTTGAATAGGCATTGAATTTAACTACCCATATGACAATGGAGCCTAAAACTAGAGTTTGTGTAACTGGGAAGACATCTGGGCATTGCCACTTAATCTGATTGGTTTTATGTGGCTGGAGTCAGATCTGAGTAGCAGGACTAGGGAAGCAGGAGAGGTTTGGAATTTTCAGAATTGTTATAATAAGTTTTCTTTTCCCCTTCATCATGTATCCAAATGTATCCAAATGTTTCTCTCTCATTGATTATCTTGTAAGTGATGGAAGTCATTTCAAGGTTACTATTTAAATTTTGATTCTCTCTACCATGTCATTTTAAAGGAGTGCTCCTATAATACAGCAAGTGCAAGCTAAATCTTGAATAGGCATTGAATTTAACCACCCATATGACAGTGGAGCCTAAAACTAGAGTTTGTGTAACTGGGAAGACATCTGGGCAAGTGACTTAGAAGTTTTGGGAAGCAGAAACACAAGAAATTTGTTTTATTAATCCTCACCCAAGGATATTTTTCCATTAATTTTTATAAAGTAGAAGAAAGGGGGCGGGGGAGGGGGGGACAGAGAGAAACATCGAAGTGAGAGAGACACATGGATTGGTTGCCTCCCGCATGCATCCTTACCAGGATTGGGGATCAAGCCTGCAACCAAAGTATATGCCCTTGTTCAGAATCAAACCCAGGACCCTTCAGTCCATGGGCTGATGCTCTATCCACTGAGCAAAACTGGCTGGGGCAGAGATTTTTTTTTTCATGTTTTCACTTTTTGAGCACCTACTATGCTAGACACTTTTATGCCCTTTTAAAAAGATATTTTATTGGTTCTTAGAGAGGGAAAGAGAAACTTCAATGTGAGAGCAGGATATTGATAGGCTGCCCTTGCATGCCCCCTATGAGGGATTGAACCAGCAACCCTTTGGTGCATGGGATGATGCCACACCGGCCAGGGCCCTTTCATGTATTTTAGCTTATTTGTCACCAATATTATTCCCATTATCAAGATAAGGAAAAATTAGTCTTTTGGTTGTGATGCCACTTACTCAAAGCCTGCAGCAAGTAAGTGGCAGAGTCTGAAATTCAATTTGTGTCTCTACCTCTCTATACTGTAGAACATGTCTGCTACAGGGTTGTAGGCATAGCCTCTTCAGCTGTCATAAGTATCCATGCATCTTTGCCCCTCCTTGATGCTGATGCAGAGGCCAAGAGACCAGAGGCATCCACAACAATTTTGAAACATGTAGTTGACCATGGTAAAGCTAGCACTGGGAAAGACCCACCTGTAGGGATGAGCCCTCCTATGGCATTGCCACTTAATCTGATTGGTTTTATGTGGCTGGAGTCAGATCTGAGTAGCAGGACTAGGGAAGCAGGAGAGGTTTGGAATTTTCAGAATTGTTATAATAAGTTTTCTTTTCCCCTTCATCATGCATTTCATTCACATGTGTTTCAATATTTTGCAGGTTTACCTTAAGGTAAAGGAGCCTGTATTCCATCAGGTAATTCTTAAAAATTATTACACATTTGACAATACTTGCCTGCTTTGTGTTTTCCTTTTCTGATAAATAATATGCAGATACAGAGGTTGCAAACTCAAGTGCCTACAGGAGCCAGCTGTAGGTAACAGGAATCTACCTGGAACAGTCAATGCCCAGGTCCACCTGGCTGTTGGTAGTCAGTAATGCAGGTGCAACATTGCTCATATAAGGAGAAAAAAAAAGGAAGCCTTCTGCACATACATATATAAAATCTTTTTATGACATTATTTTCTAGAAAAGGTAGAGTGAAAAGTCCTTGAATATTTTCCTCCTAAAATATATTGTAAGTTTTTTGAGGTAGAAAGTTATTTAAATTGAGGGAAGCAAACACAGGAAACTGCTGGACGAAATAATGATTTATAATGAAACCAGAATGAAATAAAGTAGCAGACCCTAACTAAAGAGAGCTATTGTTTATTGAGTGCCACCATGTGCCTGGCACTATGCTCATTGATACACAGACTAATCTCCCCAGCAGTCCTACAAATTAGGGCTTATTATCCACATTAGAAGGAAAATGAGCTCACAAATATTAAGTAATTTGCCCCCGGGTTACATAGTTATTAAGAGGCAGAGCCAGGATTGTAATCTAGATTTGTTTGACTCCTGTCACCATTCTTTTAACAAACTAACAAATAAAAATAAATCAATAAGCACATATTTCAGGAGTGTCAGAAGCTTTGTAGTTTTAGATTATTTTGTGCTTATATAATAAGTAAATATACCTATAACATTTTAAACTGGAGCTAGACAATAATTATCTAACTGAAATCTGTTTTTTATTTATTGTTATTTATTTTTTATTTTTTTAAAAATATATTTTATTGATTTTTACAGAGAGGAAGAAAGAGAGATAGAGAGTTAGAAACATCGATGAGAGAGAAACATCGATCAGCTGCCTCCTGCACATCTCCTACTGGGGATGTGCCCGCAACCCAGGTACATGCCCTTGACCAGAATCGAACCCGGGACCTTTCAGTCTGCAGGCCAACGCTCTATCCACTGAGCCAAACTGGTTTCGGCTTTATTTATTTATTTAAACAGAGATATTGGATTATATACATTTATTTATTTATGTGTAAACAGAGAAGGAGGGAGGGATGGAAGAGATCAATTTGTTGTTCCACTTATTTATGCATTGGTTGATTTTTAAATGTACCCTGACCAGGGATCAAACCTGCAACTGGAGTATTGAGACGACACTCCAACCAACTGAGGCTGCCAGGCCAGGGCCAAAATCTGTTTTTTAAATAAATTCCAAAACCACATTATTCTGCCTTGCTTTTCTACAGACCAGCTGAAAATAGACATAGTAGATGTTACAGGAGAGGACACCCTCAACTCACTTCCCTGTTTATTATAGCTTAAAGTGATGTCATTGTTTAGAAAGATTTATTGACACTGTAGAAAATTTATATTAAAAATAGTTCCATTTTTATAACATTTTTGTTTGCCTTTACAAGAAAGAAAAATCAACCACAAAAAAACAAAATTTGGAAATTTGAGGTTAATTTTTGTAAGTTTATGACCAGTTTTCCATTTTATATTTTAGATCTATTTGACATTATGTTTATGTAATAAAAGTAACAAAATCTGCCCTAACTGGTTTGGCTCAGCAGATAGAGCGTCAGCCTGCGGACTCAAGAGTCCCGGGTTCGATTCCGGTCAAGGGCATGTACCTTGGTTGCGGGCACATCCCCAGTGGGGAGTGTGCAGGAGGCAGCTGATCGATGTTTCTCTCTCATTGATGTTTCTAACTCTCTATCCCTCTCTCTTCCTCTCTGTAAAAAATCAATAAAACATATATTTTTTAAAAAGTAACTATCTATATAAAAGGCTAAGCCACCGTCTGACAGTCTAGCCAGTAGCTATGACGTGCAATGACCACCAAGGGACAGACGCTCCAACTGGTAGCTATGACATGCACTGACCACCAGGGGGCAGATGCTCAATGCAGGAGCTGCGGAGCTGTGGTGACTTAGCAGCTACAGTTCTTGGATGATGTACCCCAGAACTAAAGAGGAGGGAGCTCGATTCCGGGGTGCGTAACCCGAGAACCACCCTTTCACAATCTGGGACCCCTCAGGGGAAGTCAGTCAGTTTCGGCCTGATCCCCACAGGCCAGGCCGAGGGACCCCACCTCCCAGAGGGACCCCGCTTACTTTGAGCCACGGTGCCGCCCCAGGTGCAACCGGCCAGGGAGGGACCATGGGAGGTTGACTCACAAGCGTGTCCAGCCCATCTCACCCAGTCCCACCCCATCAGCCACCTTCTAATTAATTTCCTTTCAATGTGCATGAATCCGTGCACCAGGGCACTAGTCCTATATAATAAAAGGGTAATATGCAAATCGATCAAACAGTGGAACAACTGGTTGCTATGATGCGCACTGACCACCAGGGGGCAGACACTTAAAGCAGGAGATGCCCCCTGGTGGTCATTGCGCTCCCACAGGGGAGATCCACTCAGCCACAAGCCGGGCTGACTAAGGATGTCCAACTACAGCTTAGGCCCACTAGCCATCAGTAGGACATCCCCTGAGGCTCACCCAGACTGCAAAAGGACGCAGGCCGGGCTGAGGGACCCACCCACCCCCACCACCACCCCCAGTGCACGAATGTTGTGCACCAGGCCTCTAGTATTCATATAATATCTCATGCTGTAATTTCCACATGTTTTTCCAGTAATAAATATTTTCTTCTCTGTGTAGAGTGGTAATGTTTGCTGATCGGAAGGGAGACAGAATGAAAGCTTATAGCTATGGCTTATATCCTAGGCTTAGAGATTAAAAATCTAGTCTCTCCACTTACTAGCTGTATACCTTGGACAAGTTACTTAACTTCTTTGTGCTTTTTAAGTGCCAGGTGCTGTACTAGTCACAAGAGATATATTAATAAATGAAATAAAGAGGTCCCTGCTCTTAAGGAGTTTATTATGCCTCCTAAAATTGGTATAATAATCTCCTAAAGTTGTCTGAGGATTAAATGAGATAATGCCTATAAAAAACCCTTAGCACATAGTAAGCACTCAGTAAGCATTAAGTAATATTATTATACCAAGGCAAATAAGATATGGCTGCTGGTCTCAAGGTGCTCACTGTCTGGTCAGGAAAATAGACTTGTAAAAAAATATTTGTAACATATATGTCTTATAAAGGCATGTACCTGGGTTGCAGGATTCCCTTTCCAGTTGATGTGTCGTTCTCTCTTACCCTCCCTTCCTTCCACTCTCTCTGAAAATCAATGGAAAGAAATATCCTTGGTGAGGATTAACAAACAAACAAAAGTGCTTCTACTGCATGTAGCTAAATTATTACTTACTCCAGTATTAAAAAACAGGTTAGGGAAAATGACCCACTATTGCTGTTGTAAAGCTTTTTTAAAGTGGCCTCTGCCTCAAATATCTAATCTAGAATATCCTGTGCTGATCTGTTAAGTAATTATAATCAAAACTATCTGTAATTATGGCCTAAAAACATTTATCCCTATTTATTTTCTGGGTATCATTAGTAAAAGAAAACTTTTCTAAGATTTGAGTTTGGAGTATTGTTTTTATTCTTTCATATAACTGTTGATGTGTTTGGTTTTTTGTGTTGTTGTTTTTTTAAGATAAAGCTCTGCTTTTATTAAAACAACATTTACAAATAATTCATGTGGCTTCTGTGTCTCTCTCACTGCTCCCAACTCAGAGGCCGCATTATTTTTTTTATTGATTTCAATTTCATGCACGGGGGGGAGGGGTCCCTTAGTCCGGCCTGCAACAACACCAGCATCCCTCGCCCTGGCCTCTGGCCAGAGGCCCCTCCCCTCCCTCTCGAGCCCTCCCTCCACGTGGCCAGGGCACAGACGCTGGGCTCGCATTGCCAGGGTGACGCCGCCAGCATCCCTCCCTGGCCACTATTGGCGCAGCCATCTTTGTCACAGAGTGATGGTTAATTTACATATTACTCTTTTATTAGATAGGATAGGGGAAGGAAGAGGAAGAGAGATGGAAACATCAATGACAAGAGAGAATCATTGATCGGCTGCCTCCTTCACACCCCTTACTAGGGATCGAGCCCGCATCCCAGTGAATGTGCCCTGACTGGGAATCAAACTGAGACCTCCTGGTTCATAGGTTGACCCTCAACCACTGAGTCATGCTGGCTGGGTTGTTTTGGAATTTTTAAGTAGAAAATTGTTTTGGAGTTTGTGACAAGATTTACAGTAACTTTCAAGATCTTAAATATAATAGAAAAGGAGGGAAAAGCAACGTTGTCCAATTTAAAGGAGCTTTGGCTTGAGAGTTTGGAATCTTGATTTCTTACCACTTTGATTTCTTGCCACTTTATTATCCATGGACAAATTTCTGATGTGCCTATTCTTCAATTTTTTTATCTGTAAAATGTTCAGAAAAAGAAGTATTACTTCACAAGGATAATATAAAATAATTAATATATTGCCCGAACCGGTTTGGCTCAGTGGATAGAGCGTCGGCCTGCGGACTGAAGGGTCCCAGGTTCGATTCCGGTCAGGGCATGTACCTTGGTTGCGGGCATATCCCCAGTGGGGGGTGTGCAGGAGGCAGCTGATCGATGTTTCTCTCTCAGTGTTTCTAACTCTCTATCCCTCTCCCTTCCTCTCTGTAAAAAATCAATAAAATATATTTAAAAATAAAATAATTAATATAAGTTAAAAAGCATAAGGCAATAAACAATACAGTGTGATACTAAAAGTACATATCTACACTAATAAAAGAGAAACATGCAAATTGGTGTCACTGCTACGCCCACCAGCCAATCAGTGACTATGCAAATTAACGCAACAAAGATGGCGGTTAATTTGCATACAAAGGCATGGAGCAAAGACTGAAGGCCCCAGCTGGACTGAAGACTGAAGAGGCTTGGCTTCTCCACGCCTCGCTGCGGCCGCAGCGGAGAAGCCAAGCTTCGCTGCAGCTGGACCAAAGGCCTGGGTCCTGGGTGCCAGAGGAAAACTGGTGCCAGCAGCCAGGGGAAGGAAGGCCTATTGCTCGAATCTTCGTGCAACGGGCTTCTAGTTGAGATATAAGATGACATGCATAAAATTTTGCCTGTAATAATCACAGAAAGCTTCTGAAAGGAGATGTTTGAGTTGGGCCTAGAGAGATAAATAGTGACATACTATTAGAGAGAAGGAGCTAATAAACATTTTAAAAGGATCTACCATAACCAGGATGATTGTCTTGCTAATCAGATTAGCTTCCCAGAGAGAAATCCTGATACCAGTTCTACTTTACTGTATTAAATGTAAGGTGATCCAAACATCTCCAAAAGAGAGCCAAATGCTTTTATTTAATTTGATAGCCTTGCAAAGTGTAAAATACACAAATTACATAGCCACCACATTCAGTATATACATCAATATATCTTATATAAGGAAATAAGTAAAAAATGTCTATGAGAATAGATTAAGAGAACATTTAAGAAGTTAGTTAACCCTCTTTAAGCAGCTAATTAACAAATCAGTACTTGAGTATCACAGTGAGATCTCATCTAATGTCTCAGAGAGTACTATTACCTAAACTCTTCTTGCCAAAGTGGATGTCTCCCATGGATTGGTTCTAGACAGGAACTTAGGCAGATTTATTTAAATTTTATTATATTCTACTTATGCCACTTAATTACAGATTAGAGATGTGAAGAAACTACTGTGTAAGCACACTTAGAAAAGAAGCAAAAGAAGCTGACATTTTTTAATATCTCTTATGTACTAAGTATTGTGTATCTTTTGTAGTTTATATGGACTGACTTACCTATTATCATAAAAATAACAACAAACTGTATAGACATTATCATCTTCATTTTGTAGGCGAGATAGCAGAGTTAGAAAGTTTACATAATCTGACCAATTTTTTTAATATGTTTTTATTGATTTTAGAGAGAGAGAATGCGAGGGGGAGAGAGAGAAAAACTGATGTGAGAGAAACGTCAATCGACTGCCTCCTGTGTGCCTCCTACTGGAGATTCAGCCTGCAACCTGGGAAATAGAATCAGTTGCTGAAAGTGAAGCTAAAGAGAAGGGAAGGATCTAGGGAGTGTGAGGCAAAATTATAGTATCTGTTCAGGTTTCGGCAGATATTTAATATTTCACATAACATAAGAATTAAAATGGACACAGAACTTCTGATGCTGGTTATTCACAAACAGGCTCATAAGTTTTCCTCAAAGCTTAGCATGACTCTTAAAAATATAATTACATATTCTTAAAAATTCTGTTCTTTAAAATGTAATCAAAGATAATAAATGTTTACATTTAATTGGGAGGGCTACTTTTGTAGGCAAAATATACTTTCTTCGCCAAAGAATAATGATTTTAGTAACATTTTTTCCTTTCTTATTTAGGTCATGTATGGAATGTTGGTCTTCACATTAGTACTTCGATCAATTTATATTGTTACATGGTAAGTAGTTTGTATCATCACACTATGATTAGAGTACATTCAGGCAATAAATCTATAGCCTAAATTGAAATAATACATAAAACCCAATTCCAACAGGCTTATTGATTGAAAACTATATAACCCAACATTCATTATGGTATAATTACAAGGAATACTAGTTCGTTAAGCAAGTTGTTAATAGGCACCATGTGAAGACAAGAGTTTCAAAATTAAAGAAATTTGAGGAAAGCTATATATGATGACCACCTTTTGTTTATAATGTACAAGTATATTAAAGCCTTTTAAAAATTCTAGAGTAAAAAATGAGAAACTGATTCTGAAATTTACATAGGAAGGCAAAGGATCTAGAATAGCCAAAACATTTTTGAAAAGAACAGTAAAATTAGAGGACTTATACTACTTGTTTTGCTCTGTGCCACACTAAGACATTGTGGTATTACTGGTAAGAATGAAATATAAATCAATGGAACATCCAAAAATAGACCCATTCTGAAATAGACCTACGAATCCATACTGCCCTGATTTTGAATAAGCATCTACAGTAATTCTGTGAGGAAAAGGTAATCTTTTCAAATTGTGCTCAACAGTTTGATAGTCTTATTTTAAAAATTAACTTAAACTCACACCATTACAAAAATTTACTAGAAGTAAATCAAATTCCTAAATGTAAAAGTTAAAATTAAAACACTTCTAGAAGAAAATAGAGCAGAAGTTTTTTCAGGCTTGCTTAAGCAAAGAGTTATTAAATAGGACACAAAAAGTGTAAACTATAATGAAAATATTGATAAATTTAGCTTCATCAAAATAACAAACTTTTGTTCTTCAAAAGACACTTAAGAAAATTAAGGGCAAGTCAGAGTTGGAGAAAGTATATGCAAAATATATATCCAACAAAAGATTTACATTTAGGATATATAAAGAACTCTTACAATGCAATAATAAAGCAAACAACAATTTTTTAAATGGGCAAAGATTCAACAAACTATCAAAGAAGTTAGATGGATGGCAGATACACATGTGAAAGGATGCTCAATGACATTAGCCATTAAAGAAATGCAAATTAAAACCACCATGAGATACCACTATACTAGTACACCTACTAGAACAACTAAAAAGACTGATGTCATATCAAGTGTTGGTGAGGATATAGAACAAAAAACACTCATACACTGCTGATGGGAATGTAAAATCACTTGGGAAAACAGACAATCACTTAGGAAAGCAGTTTAGTGGAGTCTTAGAAAGTTTAGCATTCACCTGCCATTCCTCTCCTTACTTTTTACCCAAGAGAAATGAAAGCATATGTCCATAAAAAGACTTACTTATGAATGGTAGTAGCTGCTTTGTTATGGCAAAGAAAACTGAAAACACAAATAGCCACCAATATTTGGACTGATAAACAAAATGTGGTATATCTATATAGTGGAATACTACTTAGGAATAAAAGTAACTGAAGTATTGATACACATAACTACATGGAAGAATTTCAAAATAGTTATGCCAAGTGGAAAAAGCACATACAATACAGCAGATATGCTGTATTATTCCATTTATACAACATTATAAAAAATGCAGACTCAGCTTTTAGAGGTGATGGATATATTTATTATTTTGTGTGTTGTTGGTTTCATGGATACATATAAACATATTCATCAAATGTACACTTTAAATATATTCATTTTAATGTACGTCAATGAAACCTCATTGCAGCTACAAAATCCTATCTAATAATAGACAAACATGGTAATTAACCATACCTCCGACACGCTTCCCATTGGCTAATCAGGGCGATATGCAAATTAACTGCCAACCAAGATGGCAGCCGGCAGCCAGGCAGCTGAAGTGAACAGGAGGCTTGCTTGCTCCAGTGATGGAGGAAGCCAAGGTTCCCCGCCTGCCACTGCCGGCCTCTGAGCTGCACTCTAAGCAACTATGTTGCAATTATAGAAGCTAAACAATCCCCAGAAATCTGCTTTCAGTCAGCCGGGCCTCAGAGCTGGAGTTGCAACAGTGTTTCAATTATAGAAGCTAAACAAAGCCCAGATACCTGCTTTCAGCAACTGAGGTCTCAGAGCTGGAGCCGAGCCTCAGAGCTAAAGCCAGCTCTCAGCTCCAGTGACAGCCATAGAAGGTAAATAAATCCCAGAATTAAAAAGAAAAAAAGGAGAGTTTGGGAGCTTCAGTCACCCGCCAACCTGAAAACGGCCCTCAGCCCCTCACCCAGACTGGCCAGGCACCCCAGTGGGGACCCCCACCCTGAAGGGGGTGTGACCAGCTGCAAACAGCCATCAGCCCCTCATCCAGGCTGGCCAGGCACCAAAGCGGGACCCCCACTCTGATCCGGGACACCCTTCAGGGCAAACCAGCCGGCCCCCACCCATGCACCAGGTCTCTATCCTATATAGTAACAGGGTAATATGCAAACTGACCCTAATAGCAGAACGACTGGGAATCACTGGTCACTATGACACACACTGCCCACCAGGGGGCAGACGCTCAATGCAGGAGCTGTCCTCTGGTGGTCAGTGCACTCTCACATGGGAGGAGCTCTGCTCAGCCACAAGCCAGGCTGATGGCTGCTAGTACAGTGGTGGTGGTGGGAGCCTCTCCTGCCTCCTCAGCAGCGCTAAGGATGTCCGAATGCAGTTTAGGCCTGCTCCCCGCTGGCAAGTGGACATCCCCCGATGGCTGCCGGGCTGCCAGAGGGATGTCTGATTGCCATCTTAGGCCCAATCCCCCTGGGGAACGGGCCTAAGCCAGCAGGTGGTCATCCCCTGAGGGGTCCCAGACTGCGAGAGGGCACAGGCCGGGCTGAGGGACCCCCCCATCCCCCCCGAGTGCACAAATTTTTGTGCACTGGACCTCTAGTATACATATAAGCTGCTATTTTGAGTAAATCACCAAGCTTCAGTTTTTTTATTGGTGAAGTAAAAAGAATAATGCCTGCTTCATGGGGTTTATTTGAAGATTTAATTTGTGTGTGTGTGTGTGTAGTGTGTATCTAATTTAGTATAGTGCCTGACACAGAGCAGGTGACTAAATGTTAATTATGTTCCACCACTCCCCTTGCACTTCCATGGGACTGATAAAGTTACTGGGGGCTTTTACATTATCTTCTTGATACACCATACCTAGCCAAGTCTTAGAAGCACATTCTCTCTCAGTACCTTTTAATGACTAAATGTAATAGGCAAATGTATTAGATAATTTAATAGATAGGTTTGCTTTTAATACTAACAAAAACCTTTCCTTCTCATGAAAGTGATTACTTCAAGCTCTGATCATGACATGACGCAGCAAAATTTCATTGTGCTTTTTAATTTTTCCACAGGGTTTATCCATGGCTTAGAGGACTGGGTTATACATCTTTGGGTGTATTTTTATTGGGATTTTTATTATGGAATGTAGATAACATCTTTTGTGATTCACTGAGGTAAGATACATTTTCAGTCTCTGAGGTCAATGGGTACATTATTATTTTGCCTATTTTTGCACATTTGAAATTCCTCATAATAAAAAGTTAAATAAGTAAATGTAGACTTTAATGTACAGAAGCAAACAAGTAATACACCTTGCTTTGAAAACTAAGATCTAATTGAGTAGTTCTGAGTCAGTAATACCCATCAGAAACCCAATTAGAGCTGGTAATTGTCTCAAAATTAGATGGTAATTGTCTCAAAAATTCATAGGATATCTAGAAAAATAATTTGATGTTTCATGTTTATTTTTTCCCTCTAATAAATGAGAATATTAATATATCTAATCAAAAGATCTAGAATTTTAGCCCGACCAGCGAGGCTCAGTGGTTGAACATAGACCTATGAACCAGAAGGTCACAGTTTGATTCCGTTCGATTCTCGGTCAGGGCACATGCCCCGGTTGTGGGGAGGGGGGTGGGGTGTAGGGGGCATGCAGGAGGCAGCCAATCAATGATTTTCTCTCATCATTGATGTTTTTTTCTCTCTCTCTCCCTCTCCTTTCCTCTTTGAAATCAATAAAAAGATATATATATATTTTTTTAAATCTAGAATTTTAGACTTGGCTATGCCACTCACTAGCAGAGTGACTTGGGCAATTCAATTAATATCTCTGATGGAAGGAGACTTGACTTGGGGTGTGAACACATAATACAGTATAGATGATATATGATAGAATTGTATACCGGAAACCTATGTAATTTTATTAACCAATGTCACCCCAATAAATTCAATAAAAAAGGGAAGAAATCTCTTTGAATTTTAGTTTCCTAATCTGTAAAGCAAAGCTAATAATAGCTACCTCAGAGACTTACTATGAAGTGAAATAATAGATACCAAAGGACTTTATAGACTGTGTGGTACACTTCTAAGGTGATGGTTGTATGCAGGACATAGGAAAAGCATGTATCTAGTTCCTTAAGTGCATGCTAGGTAGACCTGTGTTTCCCAAAGTATGCTCCGAGAAACATTTGTCCTATAAGGTATTAATAAGATAATACCTAAATAAAGGGTTCCAGGGGTAAGTAGGTTACCTGAAAAAAAAAATGAAGGTGAACTCTATAAGTTAGGGTAGGACTTTTCAAAGTTTTTAATCTGTTAATATGCATCATAGATCTCTAACAGAACAATAAACTATGTACTATTTCCCACTTTTGTTTTGACCACAGAGTCATTTCTTCAGAACTTTTGCAAGGAATACTATTCCTGAAAATACACTTTGCAAAATAGTATGGCAGACTGCAGCAGACTTGAGGAAATTAAGTAACTGCCATTTTTGAGAATGGCATTTCAAAATGCTCTAAAACTGTCAGCATTAGTTGCTAAATATTTTAAAAAATTAACATGGTGATTTTCCCCCCCTCTCCTCACAGGAACTTTCGAAAGAAGGTACCACCTATCGTAGGTGTTACCACACAGTTTCATGCATGGTGGCATATTTTAACTGGCCTTGGTTCTTATCTTCACATCCTTTTCAGGTAGGAAATAGACTTTTAAAACCTAGTTTTGGAGTGTTTTTTCTGTATTCTTTAAATATGATGGTGTATATATAAAATGTTGGAGACAGAATCAGGAACTTTTGTTCCAGCTTTGCCTCTCCCACTGGGTGGGTGACCTTAAGCAAGTCCCTTCCCTTCTAAAGCTCAGTTTTCTCATCCTTAAAGTAAGACAGTTGTATTAACTAACCTCAGATGCATGATTTACATTTTAATGCAAGTAGGATATAAACTTTTTTTAGTACTAGTAGTGTATAAATATTTCAATTTCTTACTGATCAGCATTAAAAAATAAACTTTGAAAGAAAAGCACTCAGATCCCTTGAGTAGGGGACTGGAAAAGTGAGTACCTGAAGTCCCCTGCTTAAATAAATTGGTTGCCACTTTGCTTTCCCTGCTCCCCTAATAAAGAGTCTATCGGAGGTCAGCCATTAACAACAACAATGGCATCAGAATTCTCTCTGATCACCCTATCCAAATAATACTTCCATATCACTCTCTGTCCCCTTATCGGGTTGTGTTTATAACCTTTAAAGTATTTATAACCAGTTATATGTTTATTTAGTTGTTTACCTCCCCCAACTAGACTGTTAATTATTTGAGAGCAGCTGGAACTTTATCTTATTCACTGCAACTCTCCTAAATGGATAGAATGATGCCTGTCACATAGTATATATTGTTAATTGCTTTAATTAATGATTATGTATATATTGGTCTCTTTACCAGTGGATCAGGCTATGTTTAATTTCAAATTCTTCTCAAGAATTGAGAGAGCTGAAATATTTGTAGGCAGGGGAAGAAATTTTTTCTTTAAACCAATGTGAAAATTTACTTAAGTGAAACTTTTAGAATATCTCTTCAAAATAACATTTGCATTTCACCTATCTGGAGGTCAGCTTGTTTAGATAACCTGAATTATCTAAAATTTAACTACCTGAGAATTATATATTTTAAAAAAAGACTTCTGAGTAGCTAAATAGGAACGTTGAATTCATGCTGTGAAGAGCTTAATCATGGAAGAGCTCTTTAAACTCTGTCTCCAAGTATGTTTATTTTACTTTTTGCAACTTCTTACTGCATTGGTTATTTGGATTCTTAGTCCATAGCACATGGGAACTATCTAATTTAAAAGGGAAGGGATATGGAAGAAAATGCTTGGGGAAATTGACGTGATAGAAAAGGAAAAACAAGAATAACTATAAAGTGAACCCAATAATTGAAAAACTAGCACCTTAACACTGCACAAGAAATCCCAAGGTGGCTCATTTGGTTGGGCATTGTCCCATGCACCAAAAGGTTGTGGGTTTAATTCCAAACCAGGGTACCTTCCTAGGTTGCATTCTCTTCATATCTCTCTCTCTCTCTCTCTCTCTCTCTCTCTCTCTCTCTCTCTCAAAATCAATAAACATATCCTTGGGTAAAGATTTAAAAAAAATTTTTAAGAGACCAGTAAAAATATCACAAATTAGAATTATCAATGATTATAAAAATAATGCAATTTCTATGCTTGAAGAAATAAATCAAACTTAAAAATAAGTTCAAGGAAAAAGAAACTTTTTCAAACAAATTTTTAAAGAACCAAATAGAATCTCTAGAAATGAAAACTATACTAACCAAAATGCTAAACTCACTGTACAGAACTAATAACAGATTAAACTCAATTGAAGAAAGAATTAGTAAAATGGAAAACAGATCAGGAAAAAATTACTTAAATCCAGCAGAGACAAAAAATATGGAATTGAGGTTAAGAGAAATGGAAGATGAAGTGAGAGGGTCTAACATATGTTTAATTGGAGTTCCAGAAAAAAAAAGTAGGGAGGGGGAGCAGCATATTTCAGTTACTAATGTTACACAACAACCCCAAACTTACCAGTTTAAAATAAACCAGTGTATTTTGCTCACAATTGTCTTGAATTTGGGTCTTGAACTTGGAAGGGCTCAGCTAGGCAGTCCTCACGTGGAGTCTCTCATAGGGTTGGTGTCAGATGTCAGTTCAGGCTGCAGACATCTGAAGGCTCCCGCTGGAATAGAAGTACAAGAGGGCTCACTTATATTGGGGTGTCATTTGATATTGGCTGTTACCTTGGAGCTGTGGCTATAAACTAGAGCTGCCCTCATGGGCAGGCGACTTCATCCTCAGTGTAATCAGCCTTCATACCTGGCAGAAGACTTCTCCCAGAGGGAACATCTCAAGAGAATCAGACAAAAGTAGCAGGGCCTTTCATAACCTAGTCTCAGAGTTCATATGGTCTCATTTCCACCCTACTCTGCTGGTCAAAGTCACAGATTTAAATAGGAGGGACATAGATCCTATCTCTTGAGGGGAGGAGTATTGAACAATTTCGGGTCTCCAAACTCAAGTCTGAAGAGGAGACACTTCTCAGCTGGTGCTGGTTTCTGAGCTCAGAGGAGAGACCCCAGGCTGGACCCCAGGCCTCTGAAGAAGGGACTGCTGCTACAAAGTCCTGCTGCCACAGTGAGGAAGTGTTGTTGGGATGCTGTTCACAGGAACCACAAGTCAACAGCCCCTCATCAAAATAAAACAGGATGGAAGAAGTCCCTTCTTTCTCCTCCGGCTTTGCAATCTCTCTTGAATGCCCTCTTTTAGCAGAGCCTATGAGGGAACAGTTGTCAATGCAGAAGTACGGTTTGTAGTCTCAGCTCCTGAATCACAAACAGAATATAGAAGGGTGGATTTGGAGCTGAGGTATAATAACTTAATAAGTGATATAGCTGGTAAGATTCAACAAGAAGAAAAGAGGAAAACCATAAATAACCAGTATCAGGAGTATAAAAGGAAACATCATTACAGATGCTGCAAATATGAGAAGATAAGATTTTTTAACAACTTAATGTAATAGGTACTTTTGTTTATGGTTTAAATTTTCCATAATAAAAAGTTTGAATTTTAAGCTCAGAACCTCATCTGGGCTAGGCACTTGGTGTATATTACTTCCTTTAATCCTTATGACAGTGCTATAAGACACGTATTATTTTATACTTGAGGAAAGACAAGCTCAGAAAAGTCAAGTACTTCACACATGATCTTAGTGTCATTGCCTGGATTTGAGCCCAGAGTTTTTGTCTCCACAAAACAACCTAGGAAACCTTGGAAAGCATCTAATTTAACTTCTTCATTTGATGGTGAAGCATACTGAGGCAGCAAGGTCATTTGCTCAAGGTCAAGGTCACTGGCCAGTTAGAATATAATATATTGGCTAATGGTTAGACAGAACCTGAATTCAAGTCCCATTTCTAGCATTTACTAGCTGTGGCACATTGAAAGGAATATTTGACCTTTCTGAGATCATTTCTCATATGCAAAACAGGAATAATAATGCCCACCTAGTAGGTTGTTTAAAGATGAAATGTGTAGAAAGCTCTGGGTCCAGTGCTTGCCCCACTAGTGTAGCTACTTAAAAGTTGGCAGTGGTGAGGTAAGAGCAAGGGTTGGAATTCAGGGCTTCTCTGCCTCAGTCCAGGACTCTTTCCTAAAGAAAAGGGAAAAGGTGGCAGCTTTCTTTTAGAGATTAACATCCGAAAAACTGTCCGAGGTTTTATATTTTAAGACAGTAGAGTATTCTTCATAATATTTGATGTTCCTCTTTACAGTTCTAGCTTGGGGTACAGTGACACTATAGCCACATTAAATTACACAAATTCAACTATACATGCTCTTTTACCTTTTCCCTTGTTTAAAAGATAAAATTTTTCATACTATAAAATTATGGCTTGCATATGCACACATAATAGTCTGTATATTACTATTGAAATACATTTAAATAGTGTACTATACAAAAAACTATGTATGCTGTATGTTATGGAAAGTTCAATGAAATTTTTAGGGGTAAATTTAACTTTACCTTTGCTGTATTTACTGATTTTAGACTCTGATATCTTCAGAGGTGACTCATTTTAAAGGATACTATGAAAAGGGCTCCATTGCCTTCCTGTTTATTTTATACCTGTATTGGAAACCTGTAGAGCGGATATAACCATTTTCAAAATATTATAAGAATACTCTACGTTAGCCCTGGCCAGTTTGCTCAGTGGTTAGCATGTCGACCTGCCCACCAAAGGGTCTAGGGTTCGATTCCCAGTCAAGGGCATGTACCTGGGTTGCAGGTTCAATCCCTGGCCCTGGTTGGGGTGGGTGCAGGAGGCAACCAATCAATGTGTCTCCCTTACATCAATGTTTCTCTCTCTCTCTCTCTCTCTCCCCCTCCTTCCATCCCTTCCACTCTCTCTAAAAATCAATGGAAAAAATATCCTCAGGTAAGAATGAACAAAACAACAAAAAAAGAATACTCTACTTTAACACTTACTACCATATATCTTCAAAGATGACACTGGCAATTGTGATATGAATCCTATAAAGCATGAATGAAATGCTCCCTATTAAACTGCAAACATTCTACAGTCACAGTCTGAGAGCTGATCATTTCTCTGTTTCCCCTCCTAGCATCTTGCCAAGTGCTCTGCACAGAGTAGGTGCTCAAAAAAATGGTTGCTAAGAGAACAAAAAAATATACCAATGTTGCTTGTTCTTTATATATACATAGGCACTATGGTTAAATTTGTCAGTATGCCAGTTTGCATGGATTAAAAATCAGTCTGAAGAGCTTTCTCCCTCCCCTTTTCTTTCAGTATATATACAAGAACACTTTACCTGAGATATAGGCCAAAAGTGAAGGTAAGTCTACTTCATAGCGTGAGTGTGTTGGGAGAGGGGGGATATTGAGAAGATGGGATGGAGGAAGTGGGTGGGATGGAGAGGTCATGGAGTGAGTACAGGTTTTGGAACCAGATGCTCTTAAATTTTAACTCTCCCACTTACTGCTCTGTGACCTTGGGCAAGATTCTTCCCTTTAAAAGACTTAGTTCTTCAACAATAAAATGGACCTGTTAATAGCTACATTGCCAAGTTGTTTTAAGGATCTGAGATGATTTTAATGCCCAGCTCCATGCTTGACAAAGTAGATGTTTAATACATTTAAATACATTAAAAGAACATAGTTTCTGAGATCTGTTGCAAGCCTGGAAAATGTATGCTGTGCTTAGGTACTACTACCAGGACAATAACGAGCAAACCTACCAAGCACTGCAGTCACAGCCCACGGGTTCTTTCTCATTTTTCAGGGATGATATATATGGAACACTTTTATCTTCTTTCATTTTGTTCCAACTTGTTTCCAAACAGTTTCTCTTCGGAATCTGGCCAGTGATCCTGTTTGAGCCTCTCAGAAAGCACTGATGAATTATTCCACCAAGAAAACAAAAAAGCACCTACCATAGGCCCAGCCAAATGAATAAGGAAATCCTTAAAGATCTACATGTTCAAATATATCAGGACTATCACGGCAAATAAGTGGCTTTCTGACTAACACTGTCAGCCACACAGAGAATGAGGAATGGGGCTTGTTGGATGTTTAGCTTATGTCATTATCTCATTCGTCCTCCTCCTCACCCTAAGATGTTTAAAAAGAAACATACACGATATATCTATATATACTTGAATGCCAGAAAAATTGGGATTTTCATAACAGGTTAACAGTTTGTGCTTATAACAGGAAATTTACCATTTCCTCTTTTTTGACAAGGGTTGCATGTGAACTATACTTTTCATAATATTTGGTTAAATAATGAAAGCAGCTAGACTGGCAAACCCCATGTCCAGATGGCCAGCTATAAGCCAGCCCTTAGCTGTGTCAGCCTTGATTTATATTTTTGTCAAAGTAGCCTCATGGATGGTTTTCCAAGGTTAAAAAAAGGAAGAAAAAGAGCTATCAGTGGGATTCTGGTAGTTTTTCACTGCTGCCTCTGTGCTACTCAGAGTGTGTCATGAGCAAGCTCAGACCTGCCATTGGGTTATCACATCCCAGCTCTGGCTTGTCTGTGTTTAGCCACAGTCAGTCAGAGTAGGAGGGTCATCTTGCAACCTTTATGAAGGCTCTGAGGACACCTATACAATGTTGTATCCCCAGACAGTTAAAGGTGGTTGTTCAGTTTCCTTTGATCTTTGCAGATCTTTAAGTTTGTTACTGTTTTTATGGCTAGGCAAACATGATTGGTGGTCTGGTCTACCCGTATTCCATCCTCCTAGCATAATTTATGTGAAGTTACCAGTGAATGTCATTATACTCTGACTTTTTAGATTATGCAATATTTTCCAGTTTTCAGAGAGGTCATGGTTACGCCCAGAGAAATGTGTTGGGTTACCTAGAGCCAAACGACCAGGATCCTATTTACATAAAGCTTATTAGAATACCTGCTCCTTCATTTCAGGTTTGAGAACAGCTCTAACTTACTTGAACTTGTAACAGAACTCCCTAAAGTTAAATTGCTGAAAAACAGCAGTGAAATCTCATTGTAAAGCAGCCAGTTCTAATTTAGATTTGAATTATAACAAATTGTATCACTTTTCACAAACATAACACCTGTCTGGATTTTAAAATTCTATTTGATCCCCTTTATTCATATATCACCATATTTGTAGTCTACACCATTTAGCATTTTTATGACTTCTTCTTGCTTATTCATTATTATAAATTCCAGAGTGTTTTTTACCACATGGTTTCATTATCCCAGATGAAATCCTGAGCTACAGCTTCAAAAGGAAACATTTTCTTATGCAAAGGTATTAAACACTTCTGTCATTTTTCCAGTATTCAGTAAGTAGCCTTAGTACAAATTTAAAACCAATGCAAATTTTATCCTTTTTCTTCACCTACTGGCCTTAGTTTTAGTCCAAATGCTATCATCCTTATCATGCCATTAGGCAGATGATTCCACCTACTTTTATGACCCTCTAGCTAGAAAAACACTTGCCAAAACATAAATGTAACACAACTGTGGTCGTGCCTTAGGAAAACATGAAACTCAACAGTTCCAACACACAGCCCATAGACTGTTATTTCTTTTCCCACAAGATTCTGACTTCTGGCTACATTTCATGTGCAGCTACCTAGGCTGTCAGCCATCTTACATTTTTTAATGACTTCCATTTGTTCCACACCATTGCCTTTTGTACTTTTCCTTCAAGATATACTTCTGCATACAGAATCTATATAGAAACAGAGGCACATTCTTAATGATGATGCTGCTAAACACTGGGAGATGGAGGTGCTGCAGTATTAAAGTCAGATTAAGATTATCGGGAGCACACCCTGAGAGGGGCCCTTCAGAGCAGTTTGTTGAATGAGCATTTCAACCATCAGTTGTTGACTAAAGTTGTCTAGCACCTCATTGGAGAAGCACATCAGTGGGCGACTTGTGACATTATGGCCAATTTTTCAAAGACCTTTGTTTCTGTTGTGAAGATAGCTGTGAAATATTTCACATGTGTTTAGCAAAAGGGGACTAAATCCAGTCTCTTTCATTTTCCAAGTTAGTTTTTGCCCCACATGGCTCTCTTTTTAGCAGCCTAACTATTAGCACACCCAAGGCATTGTATCTGTGCCACAGATAGTATTTGGAAATACTGCTGACCTTCAGGATATTTGCTAAATCGTCTTTATGTCAATGGCTTTTTTCCTTCTAGGATTCTGGGTGGGCATTACAGGGTTGGCTTACTACCCTGCTCCCTTCCCTTTATTTTCTTAGAAGACTTCCTGTTAACTAGAGTGTACAAAAAGCAACAAAAACAAACCTGTTTCCTACTGAGCAAATAATGGTTTGTTTGCATATCACCTGATGCGAAAGGTGCTCATCTGTGAGCCCTACAGCACATTATATTTTAGAAAACAATATTTTATGAGGATGTGAAAGAGGCAGTTTGCTTGCACATTTTAATATTTTTCTTATGCTGCCATTTTCACTTCAGAAAATTGAAAGCAATTAGACTTTTTTTTTTTAAGGGAAAACTAGGTGAAAGGTGGTTGTGTTCATCAGATTGGTCATTCTGCCTACTCCTCCCCACCTTGGTACTTTCATGAAACATTGCCACCACCTGAAGTGATCTCTTTAATCTTTGTGATATTATATAAATTGATCATTAACTGGAAAAACACTTGTGTGAATAATCTACAAATGAGGACCCCAAACAGTGGTATTTGGTTTAGCAGAATTCTATAAAAAAAACCTTCCTGCAAAATTTCCAGGACTGTTAATCTGGCCTTTCCCTACACTAAAAGGTTTTTCTTAGTAATACTAAGAAGAAGAGGTGTGAGTCAATGAAAATCAAAAGACCCAAATTTCAGGTATATAGTACATACATGAAAGTCTTTAAATGCCTGCAGAAACGAAGTTCTATTTTAATGCAAACACCTTCTGAATTTAGCCAGTGCCCCTAAAAGTGTCTAATAATTTACTTTAAGGTTTTCTTATGAGTTTTATGGGTTCCATATTACTTTGCTCTTGAAAAAAAATTACTGGTTGCTAAGTGTGCAGATTTAGCTCTCAATTCCACATTTACATGACTGAAGAAACTCCTTTAACCCATGGATTATGATGTGCCACTGGATAAACATTTGTGTAAAACTGAAGTTTCGAGGAGAACCAGTTATATTGGAATTTGCAGCTATATGGCGATTTGCAGATCTACCTCTGTCTTACATCTTACATCATATCAGTGCCATAATATAATTAGTTTGATCACTTTGTCTTGGTTTTTTTGTTTTTGTTTTGAGTGTCTAAAATTACAGCTTGTTCACTATGCTGTAAACATTTGGAAATAATGACCACAATTTGGCTAAAAGTAGTTAAGCCCATGGGGTGGGGGAAGGGGAGGAGTTATAAAATGGAGAAGAAAAAGAAAGAAGAAAGAAAAAAAGAATGGTTATGAACTATCTAACTGGAAAAATTCAATGCTGCTTTTTAAATTGTTACACTTTCTTCAAGAAGGAAACGTTAATTTTAATGTTTAACTGTGGTTGCTGGATGGGAATAAGTTGCCAGTAGTGCTGAAGTTATGTGAGCAGGCCACTGGTCTCAGTTCCTCCTGCTGGAGAGGGGAAAGGCAGGCTCTTGTTCACATACCTACAGGAGTTAAGAGAAAAATGTGACTCCAGGCAGAATTTGGGACTTAATAAGGAAAGGGGAGGGGGAGAAACGGCACTTACAGGAAAACAAATAACTTTTAGGAAAGATAATGGGCCCTTAGGAGAATAGATGGAGTCAAGATAGTTTTGTGGCAATGTCTGTTCAGGCGTGGTACGAAATGAGAGGATTTATGACAGTTGAGTTCTTTTAGAAGGTTCTGGTTATAGTTTGATGAAGGAACATCCGAAAAAAGGACTTCTTCCTACATCTACTGATTCCCAAATGCCTTCAGCTCAAAATAATTCCTATGCCACAGTGGTGTAGTCTGCACCCCTTCTCTTCCCGTCTAAAACCTCCCAAGAAGTTTAACAGACCAGAAGCTGAGTTGGTGGCTGTGGAGCGATCTGTGTTAGAGGTTGGGAGGTTAGAGATCTGCAAAGGAAAAGACATAGATTTATAGAGAAACAAAAGGAAAAACAAAAATTAGTAGTTGGAGCAGATTATAAACTCAGTTTTTGAGTCCAGAGGGGCAGTCCAAAGGATTTCTAGATGTTGGTCTTGAAGTGTCTTTAGATGGTGGGGTAACATGGTAGTGGCCGTCTCACATGGTCATTTCCTGGAGCTCACAGAACCACGTCCTGGTGAACGTCCTGAGTGGTGTGGACCTTTGCAGTCATAAATCCTTTAAAGTTATAGCAAGTCGTCCAGCTTCAGCTTGCAGGGCTTCAGGAAAAAGGCAATTTTAGTTGTTAGTAATGCCAAGTCAAGAAGAAAATTAGAAATGTTAATTACTGACAAAATGCGCAAGATGGTAAGATCCAGCTCACAGACCGGTGGAAACAACTCAAAGAGAATGAACAGGGCTAGAATCTAGCGTCCCACTGAAACACAGTTTCTCTCTATGATCACCCTCATTTTTATCAGAGATAATCAGGGTAAGACTGTTTTTGTTTGCAAAACAAGTCTAGTCTCACCAAACTTGGCCTGATTGTTTATTTAAGTGCAACAAGAATAATAATTGATGAAATAAGCCTTTTAAAGTTTGTTTTGCTGGAATTTTTATTGGGAATCTCAGATTGGAATTTTTAAAGCCTCAAGACTAGGAAGCCAAGCCAAGAACTCACCATCACACTTCACATGCAAGTACCTGCAGATTTAGATTAATTCCTCTTTCTCAGGGTCCCCAAAATATTCTGAGCTTCCTGGGCCGGACATGAAGTGGCCTTCCTTACTCACTTGTAAGGGTGGGAGCCCTGTAAGGGTGCCAGACCAGTTTTCGAGGAGAGCTTTGAAAGCAACCTTAGTTCCTTAAAACTAGTTATAGCCTCTTCTCTGCACATCTTCTCAAATATGATATTCTAGTCAAAGCCTTGGCAATATCACCAGTGTTTCCGATTGTGTCCTGTTACAAGGAGAATCAATTCTTACTGAACATATTCAAATAACTATATTGCCATAAAAATAAGAATATTCAATAAAAGTTTCCAAATTTTGGAGGGAATCAGACAAGGAGAAAAAATAAATGTTTCATTTTTGTTTACAAAGATATCTAAATTCTGTAAGCTAAGGTAGCTTAAGAGTAAAGGGGTTCTTTAAATCTGGAAAATAGGACATTAAAGAACCAGCAGCACTCCCAGCAAAAGTCATAGAAGAAATCATAAGTATTCTTTATCAGTCTACTCAGTCTCATGTGATAAATCCAGGTCTTTCTTAATTTGGGGTTAGCAGATTTATGAACCCATGAGCTTCTCCATTAGTTCTAGAAATCATTATTCAGGCTAGCGGTGTGATCTCAAAGTTACACGAGCAATGACATCAGAAGCCTGTACCCCAGCATACCTGCTATAGTCTGAACTTTTTTTGTTGAAGATGAAGCCTATAGCTGATTGTAAGTTTTCAGAAAAATATCTGAGTAAAATAATATCTGTGAATGACAAAAGGTTTAAAATGACCATAGTTATAGATCTGATGAGAGTTCATTATAACATAATTGACAAGAAAAGGTTTTTTTTTAATTTAATTTATTGATTTCAGAGAGAGGAAGGGAGAGAGAGTTAGAAACATCAATGATGAGAGAGAATCATTGATTGGCTGATTCCTGCATGCCCCCTACTGGGGACTGAACTTTGACCTCTTGGTTCATGGGTCGTTGCTCAACCAGTGAGCCAGCTGGCCTGGCTTGACCAAGAAATTTGGTTGAGCCAGCTGGCCTGGCTTGACCAAGAAATTTGGTTGTTTCCCTGACATTCAGCATTTTAAGATAACTGGGGCTATGACAATGAAAAGGTTCTAGAAATTTCATACAATTTCTGAACAACTTATATTAATAATATATACCCATACAAATATAGGCTAAGGAAGGTTAAGCATCACTTGACAGTCCTTGCTATGTAATTTAACATATCAAATAAACCTAATTATTTTAGCATTGCTCTTTTTACACATAAAAGAACAGATTTTTGGAGATTTTTCAGGGACTCTGGGAAATCTCAGTCAGAAGTCAAAAATGACTCATTTATAATTTGATTTGGGGAAGTTGTCAAAAGATTTGAACTCTTAATTAAATAAGGTCACAGGTCACTGTGAAACAATGCTTTTTTACCCATGTAACCAAAATGACAATAATTATAGTTTCTTATTAAGAACAGACCAACAGACCAAAAGCAACTTTGTTCTTTTAATCGAGAATTTCAACTTCTAGTTTTGCATCCATACACTATTGAGCTCATTTAAATAAATAAAAAATATGTAAATGCATTCAATCTTAGCCAGCCTGACCACATGAATAAGATATTCTCCCCTCTCTCCACCCCTTCGGCCCCCTTCCCCACCTTACAGACCCTTTACCACTTTGTGTAGCCATCCAAGTTTTTGTCTTCAATGTCCCCTTTCTCATCTGGAGCGACCTTTAAACAGCCTCTAAGCAGCTACTTTGGGACAAAATCACTCTCCTTTTTTCTTTAACAAAAGCATGTCTTTCATTCCTTTCAGACCTTTCAAGATTGCTGCCCCTCTTTATTGTTTCTAGTATTTTAATTTACTTACATTGAGTAGAATTCTTAACCCTTAGTAACCTTAATTTCCAGCAAAAATGAAGAGGTAGATAATTGTAAACTGGCACAGATCAGCACTCTGAGTAGACCAGTACATTTATTAATACAGCACCTCAGTTTCTTTATAGCATTAGTGGCCAAACTTCATTTCTGGCTAAGAAAAAGCTCAGGGCCAAGACTCAAATATAAGCAAAAGTTTATTTAGAAAGTCACAGAGGTAGAAGAAGTGAGCCATCTGCCCTGCATGGTTCAGGAAACAAGTTATAGAAGCAAAAGAAGGGCCGTTGGAGCTTGAGAAAAAGAAAGGCAGAGAAAATATGCCTGGAGGAAAAAGAGAGAGAAAGGCTAGGGTGTGCACCAGAGCAGCGGACCACCAGTGGTCCATGAGGTCCGAAAGGTTGGCGACTGCTGCTCCAGAGAGAGGGAGCCCCCTGGGGAAAGAACGGGGTGGGGAAGGCCAGGGCGCGCTCAGGAGAGAGAAAGAGCATGCACTGGGTCCTCTGTCCTGAGGGCTTTCATCTGCTTTGGACCATAAACTTTCACTTTGGGGAATGAAACCTTGACATCATTGCGGGAAAGTGGATAACATAAGGGGTAACAGGTTTCATCAAACATCAGCTTTTATCTCGTAGGCAGTCGGAGCAGCTAAGGAGAAGGCAGATCACTAAAGAATTTAAACAGAATTTCTGCTGTTGGTGCACACAGCCATTTGGAGAAGCAATACTGACTTCCATTCTAATACACTTCAAATACCTAGTATTTTTTCACAAGACCTTCAAAGTACTACCTGTTTTGATTGGTAACTGGTGTGAAAAATTATCACAGGAATATCTCCTACTAGAAAAACCCTAAAATCTGACTCAAGAAATTCAATTACAGGCATGTGAGTGACCTACAATCGCCCCACTCTGGTTAGCTCAGCAGCTAGCAATATTCCAATACCACCCACAGATCACAGTTTGCTCTGCTCATGGTTCCTTTCAACCCTCATTAACAAGACCTCTTCATTGCTTTAAAGAGCACAATAATCTAGATTCAGTCATTGGTAATTCAAATAGTCACGGAGTTGTCATAAAGCTTCTCAAACTTCTGTCGTGTCAGATCTGCAGGTCATCACTTTTAAACGGAGTTTGCAGAGGTAACTCTAAGGTTGTGGCAGGGCACGTTTATTACAGAAGTCTTTAAGCACATATATGAGTCCCTACAGATACTCATTCTGAGATCATCTGCACCTAAAAGAAAATGATTTACAAAATGTTGTATGATATCAAATGGCTGTAGATCAGGGGTAGGCAAAACTACAGCTCTGCCCTAGTTGGTTTGGCTCAGTGGATTGAGCGTCAGCCTGCAGACTGAAAGGTCCTCAGTTCGATTCCAGTCAAGGGCACATGACTGGGTTGTGGGCTCAATCCCCAAAAGGGGGGCGTGCAGGAGGCAGCTGATAAATGGTTCTCCCTCATCATTGATGTTTGTATCTCTCCTTCCCTCTCTGAAATCATTAAAAATATATTTAAAAACAAACAAACAAAAAACCAAACAAAAATAAACACTACAGCCCAAAGCCAAAG